TACCTATGCTGCTATTGCAGCGGGTAGAAATCAAAATACTAACCAACGTTCTAACGGAAATTTTGTCAATTTTGACTTAGGAAGCATTACTGCCCCTAAAATAGAATTTTTACAGAATTCATTAATTGACATGATTTCTGATATGCTTAAATCTAACTCCATGTTTGATGCTATTCAAACTGGAGTAAAATTTGCTAATAATATTTTCATGACTTTAAAATTCAGTAATGGATTTTAAACTTTAAATATTTAAAATTGGAATACTCAATCTCTTAAAGATAATGAAGACGAGCTATTTAACTTTTTGAGAGTTCATAACGTGCATATTGCCGTTATAACTGAAACGTTCCTTAAACCTGACCATAGAAGGTTAAGAAGGACGCAAACTATTTGATTTATAGAAATTATCGTCTTGATGGACCCTGTGGTGGGGTTGCCATCATTATTCATAGACGAATCAAACATAAAATTCTTTCTTTATTTGAAACCAAAGGTTTTGAAACTTTGGGTGTTTCTGATGAAACAAAATCTGGACGTTTATAGCTGCCTATTTGCCATTCCAATGCGTAGGCCAGCAAAAGAATTTTCTCAAGGGTGACCTCCAGAAACTTACCCGTCATAGGTCTAAATTCTTCATTATTCGTGATTTTAATGCAAAACACCGCTCATGGAATAATGCTCAAAGCAATTCCAATGGTAATATTCTGTTTGATGATTGTTCTGCAGGTTATTACACTATTCAATATCCAAACAGCCCAACATGCTTTTCTTCTGCAAGAAATCCCTCCACTATTGATTTGGTCTTAACTGATTCATGTCAACTTTGTAGCCAACTGGTTACCCATGCTGACTTCGGTTCTGATCACCTTCCAGTAACTTTTGAAATATTCCAAGAAATAATTTGTAATCCCAACAGCTCTACTTTCAATTACCATAGAGCTGATTAGGAGTAATATCGATCATTTATGGAATAAAACTTCGATCCAAACATTCCTTTACAAACCGAAGATGAAATTAATTATGCTCTTGAATATCTGACTACTTCAATAGTTGAAGCAAGAGCTGCCTCAGTACCAAAATGCGAGGTTAAATTCGATTCAATTATAATAGACGACGATCTTCAGCTCTTGATCCGCCTGAAAAATGTCCGTAGGAGACAATATCAAAGAACACGCGATCCTGCCATGAAAGTTACCTGGCGGAAATTGCAAAAACAAATTAAAAAGCGATTCTCTGCCCTGAGGAACAACACTTTAGAAAATAATGTTTCTAAATTAGACCCGAGTTTTGGAAACTCACAAAAATTAAAAAAAAAACCTCAAAAGCCTATGCCAGCGCTTAAAGAAGGTGGTTAAAATTTTGATCACAAATTTGGAAAAAGCTCAGAAACTTGCTTAGAGAGTTCCCATAATTTCAGTTTGGGTCTTACTAGTCCTATTGAGAAACAGGTTGCTCGGGATTATCTGAATATTTTCTCTCGGGAAAATATTTTTGATGACTCCTGGGGGACTGATTTGGACGAAGTAAGGTCTATAACTAAAAAGTTTCAAAATATGAAAGCTCCAGGTGATGATGGAATTTTCTATATCCTCATCAAAAAACTCCCAGAGAGTACCTTGTCTTTCTTGGTAAAATTATTTAACAGATGTTTCCATTTGACATACTTTCCTGATAAATGGAAAAATGCAAAAGTTGTTCCAATTGTGAAGCCGGATAAAAATCCAGCTGAAGCTTCTAGCTACCGTCCAATAAGTTTGCGTTCTTCAATAAGTGAACTTTTTGAAAAGATAATATTGAATAGAATGATGCTTCAATTCAATACGAACTCAATATTTTGCTAAATTGAAATAGTTTAATTTTCCACTTTACATTATGAAATTAGTTCAAAATTATTTAACTGACAGAACTCTGCAGGTAAATTATCAAAATTCCAAATCTAATCGACTACCTGTTAGAGTAGGAGTTCCTCAGGGTAGCATTCTTGGGCCTATATTGTATAACATTTTCACTTCGGACCTCCCTGATTTGCCTCAGGGTTGACACAAGTCTTTGTTCGCTGATGACACAGGCATTTCCGCAAAAGGAAGAAGTCTTCGTGTTATTTGCAGCAGACCGCAGAAAAGTTTAGATATTTTCTCTTCTTATTTACAAAAATGGAAGATCTCTCCCAACGCGTCCAAAACTCAACTTATAATATTTCCACATAAGCCTAGAGCTTCGTTTTTGAAAACTAGTAGTAGTCACATAGTCACTATGAACGGAATTCCAATTTCCTTGTCAAACCAAGTGAAATATCTTGGATTAGTACTTGACCAAAAATTAACTTTTAAAGATCTCATTGAGGGCATTCAAGCCAAATGTAACAAATATATAAAATGTTTGTATCCTCTTATAAACAGGAAATCCAAACTTTGCCTGACGAATAAACTTCTTATATTTAAACATGTTTTTAGACCGGCCATGCTCTAACAAACCAAGAAGATTTCGGATCCAAGGCCTACTTCCGCAACGTCTTCTTTCATTTTCTTTTTCACATTTTACGCATGAAAGCGTTGTCGTATTTTTGAAAAAAGAAAACTGATGTTGACGTTCAGCATACGTGTGCGAGTATCTTTTCATGGTTTATACCATGGATTCATGGTGATACCTATGCAGTGTACACCAAGGTAGCGTGGTCGCCGAGGCATGGGTGGTCTCCTACACTACCATTCATTCAGAGTCGATGAGCGACCTCTTAACGTTAACGTACGAACTTCAAATTTTTATATGTTTGTTTTCAAACCAAAACGAACATTTTAAGAGGTTGAATTTACAAATTGGCCGAATTTTTGAAAATAAGGGACTGCCTAACCTAGGCATTGGCACCACTTTTTTTATATCGGCGTAAAGTTTTTTATCCACCTTGTTCGAAGCGTTAAGGATTGTTTTTTAGGTTATTTGGAGGATTATGACATTTGACATTTTGACAGTTTGACATTTTTAGAAGTCATTTTGCTGTTGGCAGGCAACTTTTGATCCGCATTTGAGGCCATTTAGGCGATTTTTATCATCTACGTGGTATGGCACCCATTTTGTCTGTCGATCAGTAATCGTTTCTGGTTTTGATATGTGTAATAGGGGAATCTACGTATTCTAGGCAACCTAAGCAGCGACCATCTTTCTATAGCATTTTCTCTAAGGAACGCACACATATGCAGTATTGGTTTGTTTACAATCTTTTGCTGACAGTTGCTCTATCAATTTCAGTCGAAATAATTGTCAAAAACTGTTTTGAAACGCTTTTACAAAGCTCCAATCTTCTCTAGTGAGAGCGACTATTGTGGGCAACATCTTTTTATTCGGCAGCCTTTCTGTTTGAGCTGCGTGTTAAACAGCTGTGCTTTCATCGGCACCTCGAAATCGGCAGCATTTTGTAGTGCGTGTGTTTCTTTTCAAGAAAACTCTGCTAGAATGCTTTTTCTAAGTGGTAAAAATATAATCAAATTGAAGCTGAAATCCTAAAGAATCGTTCGAATGCATTCAAAAAATTCAGTGAAATTAGCGTTTCAATTTGGGTTGCCGAAAATCGTCTGTCATGCCGAAGCCATCATTTCCCCTACTTGAGTATAATTTTTGTTTGGAACTCAATATATTTAAAATCATTCAATGAAAGTGTTTTGGTACTTAATACGTGAAGTTTACGGTCTTCAGAGTTGGGAGGAAATGCTATACTAATACAAACATGAAGCTTTAGTGCGATAATTTATTAGCTAGAGAAAGTTCTGAAGAGGATAGATTGATAGTTCCGTTAGAGTACGGCAGTTTGAAAGTTGAATAGAAGTTGAAACTGAGCGAAGGGCCATTAATGCCACAATACTAATCAGAGTCCTTGCGGTCAATTTAAACTTACATTCAATTTTCAATAAATTATCGCACTGAAGCATTTCCTCCCAAATCTGATATTTAAATTGTTGTGCTTTAACTCTCATAAACAATCTAGAAACAGTTCCTCCAAGTGGATCCCTCCATTTATTTCATATGAATGCATCCTTTATCACAAAATAAGTAGACTGATCCTTCGCTCCATCCCCACATGCGTGCATTAAATAAAAATTCCCAAACAAACTCTTCCGCTCGCTGTCAATCAGTGACATAATCCGCTTTTGTCCAGAAGAAATTTCCTGTTCTATTTTTGTGACAGTTCCAGCCAATTTCCCCCACCAACACTGATACACTTCCCAAGTATACCAAAGCCATAAACATTCCAACTCGCCGGACAAAGCCATTGGCCGTTGTTGGAAATAAATGTGGTAGCTCATAAAAGCATTTATTACTGTTTACTTATACGGGGGAGACCACTTCATCGGATCCAGCAGCATCGGCATGGAGAATCGATCAACGAACGCACCCATAGGGGACCTCCACCTCCACCACCACCACCACCACCTCACCGAAGCTAGGGCAATCAATTTTCCAACTGGATTAACAGGGAATTAAGGACCAAACGCAATTCCACCCACTCCGAGCCGGGCAGGTAGGGTTGCGTCTTCTCCCTGGAACGGGCGGAATATCCTTTCGAATCGAAGCTGGTTTCCGAAGTGACCGAAAGTGCCCTGGCCGCTCGCTAAGCGGATTTAAACTTAATGCATTCGAGTGGTGTAAATGCTGATTGACCAGTGTTATTTTTATTTTTATTTTTTTCCACTTTCAGTGTACTTTTGCCGGTTCCTAGAGGGGAATTTCCTCCGAATAAATACTGCTGAATATTCATGATAAAATAATTGACCAACAACAACAGCAGCCGCAGCAAACGGGAGTGAAGAAGTGGAATGTATTTGTGTTTCATGAAGCGTAACAAGTGAATATTTAATTGGTATTGTAACACTGTGCCCCCCCCCTCACCTCCTTATTGGGGTTTGGAAAAGTTTGCAAGATTATGTGAATGTGCGGTCGTTTATCGACGAAAAAGGTTGTGTAGTTGTTGCATATATTTAGGATGACGCTAGGAGCGGAAGAAAAGCCCCGGTGAATAAACGGATTATACGGAAAATTTGAAATTTTCCCACCTCGTAACGGGCATCTATCATCGTGGTTTTGTCGGTGTCTCGAGAAGGATGATAATATGTGAGTGTGTGTGTGGGGAAGTGAAAAAGAAAATACGGGCGAAAGCGCTTCCGTGCCAGTAGGATCATGGATCACATTCACGCCTCGGCGAATTCCACATTCTGCTTCACCATTTGCCGTTTAGTGGAAGCCAGTGCCATCTAGGTGGATCTCGTCGTCGTTCCCTCCTCCGGTAATGGTTCCTTGTTGAACCGGGGTGTGTGCGCACGTTTTTGTGTGTATGTGAATTTTGGTGTTGGGTGCCGAGTGTGTGGTAACAGTAGTATAAAGGAAGCATCAGAATGGATTATGGAAGCGTAGGTAACGGAGGCGGCGGCGGCGGCAGTGGCACCGATCGGTCTATTGTGACGGGATTTTAGCTGGAACAGGTAAGTGTGGGGATTTATGGATATGTTTTCTCCCTTCCTAAACTGGGTGGGTCGGGATGGTTTGGAAAATGGGGTTGGATGTCGATAACGACGGATGCGAGTATTCAGGATGAACATCAAATTGGTTTAGTTAGGAGTACGGAGTCTCAATCCCTTGGAGGCTTTTTTTTTTTGAATACTCAAATCAAGATATGCATTGTAATAGTCGTACGTTTGCAACAAGTTTTTTTTACACTCAAAAAAGTCCACACGTCTGATTGAAGTGTGCACAATCACATTTTTTAACTAGTTCGTTTATTTGGAAGGCTCAATCGCGTTAGCTTTACGGAGCCGATAGTACATTGTTCTTTGTTTGTAACAAAATTCACTTAATTCTATGTCTAGTAGTAGTTGGGCTGAATACTCGCGGCTTACTCGAGGTTAGAGAGGTACATTGTCGAAGGATAGGATCAGGGTAGGAGCTTGGGGTAAGGTTTCGTTGTCTCATCAGAGCGTTGTCGCCAGTAGTCACGGTTCTAGTTTCGTCTGGAGTTCGACCGGCTATGGGCTATGGACCAGTGGGTGACGATGAGACTCATCGAGACAGGGGGACAAGACAAAAAAAAACAATTAAAGGAAGACAAAAGACAAAGGAATTAAATTATTATACTAGACATTTTAAGAAACACATAAACCGACGGCATATAGCAGATATCGCGAGTTCCCAACACGTCTCTGATAGGAACATAGGGTTGTCTTCCTTGGGGTTAAAATTTTGGGAACAAATTTCCTGGAGTTTGCGGAAGGCGCTAGAGTTTTCATTTAAGACACCGAAGCCAGTAGATCCACTCAAACGAGACCCGTCTGTAAAATATCTGTTTACGCAATTGACGTGTTGGCAAAAATACGCGGGATAATAATAGGTCGAAGTTGATCGGGAATCCCATGAGTTGCTTGTTTCATGGTCAGATCATATTCAATTGAGGAACTGCGATTGGTGAAGTGAGCACGGTCTGGAGTGTAACAAGGAAGACACATATCTGACGATATGTAGTGGTGGTAGATTCTCATAAATCGAGATTGTGTGTTCAGCCCAAGAATTTTTTCAACATTTGCAATTATAAGTGTGTTCGTCACTCCGCATTTGATTAGTATTCTGAGAGAGAGCTCCCAGAAACGGTTCTGGAGGGGTGTTACTCCTGCCAGAACCTCGAGACTCATGTTATGCGTTGAGTGCATACAGCCGAGAGCCATACGCAGACAACAATATTGAATTTGTTCCAATTTTATTAGGTTGCCGAGAGAAATCAAAAAGAGCCGTACTCTAGAACAGAGAGAATTGTTGTTTTATAAAGCGTAATGAGGTTTCCCGGATGAGCACCCCACCATGTGCCGCAAATTGAACGGAGAAAGTTGATCCTCTGCGGATAGGTTTGCTTTAAATACGTAATATGGGTATTCCAGTGCACTTTGAATCAAACCAGACCCCAAGGTACTTGAAAGACAATGATTGAGTAATGTTTCTGCCCAAAAGATTAAGATGCATTTGGGCTGGGTACCGCTTTCGAGTAAACACTACCAGTTCAGTTTTCTGCGGCGAGAATTCGATCCCTAGATTCCTAGCCCAAGAAGACAAGTTATCTAAGGAACTTTGCAATGGTCCTTGCAAGTCCACGGCATGTGGACCTCTTACGGAAACCACACCGTCATCTGCAAGTTGTCTTAGCGTGCATTGTACTGCCAAACAGTTGTCGATATCTTTGACATAAAAGTTATAAAGAAGAGGGCTGAGACATGAGCCTTGGGGCAGGCCCATGTAGCTAATTCTGGAAGTTGTCAGTTGTCCAAGGGAAAAGTTCATTTGCTTTTCTGACAAAAAATTGTACAAGAAATTATTTAAAATTCCAGGAAGTCCATATCTGTGCAGATTGTCTGACAGAAGTTCAATGGATCAAAAGCCCTCTTAATGTCCAAACATACTGAAGAAAATTGCTCCTTGTGCGCAAAGACCAGTTGAATATCTGTGGAAAGCAGCGCTAGACAATCGTTTGTTCTTTGCTCATGCGGAACCCAAACTGTGTATTTGATAGCAAGTTATTTGCTTCGACCCACTGATCGAGTCTCCGAAGGATCATTTTCAATTTCCTAATGCACGAAAGCATAGCAATCGTACGGTATGAGTTATGGTCAGACGCTGGTTTGCCAGGTTTTCGAATGGCTATTACTTTGACCATTCAGGCGGTATAATGTTATTTTCTAGTAAGGAATTGAATAAATCTAGCAAGCGTCTTTTAGCGATGTCTGGGAGGTTTTTCAGAAGATTGAATTTAATCATATCGCTTCCCGGTGAGGAGTTGTTCGATGAAAGAAGAGCCATAGAGAATTCCAGCATTATGAATGGTCTATCCAGAGAGCCGCCGCTCGGAGACGCTTCCCGTAGAATGTGTTGTGCTGGAACTGAGTCCGGACAGAACTTTTTAGCGAAATCGAATATCCATCGGTTGGAGTATTCTTCACTCTCATTAGAAGATGAGCGGTTACGCATGTTTCGAGCCACCCTCCACAAGGTGTTCATTGAGGTTTCTCGTGAGAGTCCCTCGACGAAATTGCGCCAATAACCGCGTTTCTTTTCTTTGACTAATTGTTTCAGCTTTGTCTCAAGCTTTGAATATTCCTCGAAGTATGTGGAGGTTTTGTGTCTACGAAAAGCATTGAAAGCATCAGATTTTTCTACATACAATTTTGTGCATGCTTCGTCCCATCCAGGTGTGGCTGGTCTCCTTTTGAAGGGTGCACTTGGAACTTTTCTGTTTTGTGCTTCCAGTGAGCTTTTGAAAATCAAATCGGCGAGGAAGTGATATTCTTCCAGTTGTGGAAGCGTATCTATTGATTCGGCACCGATTGTCACCGTTGTTGCATATTTCTGCCAGTCGATGTTCCTTGTAAGATCAAATGGAACTCGAGATGGTTCTGCATAGTGAGGGGCACACTTAATTGAAATGATGATTGGCAAATGATCGCTACCATGGGGATCATTGATAACCTTACACAGACAATCCAATGATAGCGATCTTGAACACAAAGATAGGTCGAGTCGGCATTCTCGAGCCGGAGGTTTTGCTATTCGTGTCGCTTCACCAGTGTTCAAAATAGTCATGTTGAAATCGTCGCATAAATCGTAAAAAATAGCCGCTCTATTGTCATCATATAGATCGCCCCACCCAGTACCATGGGAGTTCATATCACCCAGAATTAATACTGGGTATGGAAGAATCGAAACTAGATTCCAGAGTTGACTACGGCTAATGGAGGTTCTTGGTGGAACATAAACTGAAGCTATGCAAAGGTCTTTGTTCTTCACATTTATTTGGCAAGCGACGATTTCGACGCCGGATAGATCAGGAAGGGAAATTTTGTAGAAAGGGTAGCACTTTTTGATCCCTAAAAGTACTCCTCCATAAGAATCGTCTCTATCCAGGCGAATAATGTTAAAATCGTGGAAGTTGAGTTCTTTATCGGAAGAAAGCCATGTTTCACAGAGAGCAAATATATCACAATCAGAATTGTGAAGTAAAAATTTGAACGAGTCTAGTTTAGGCACTAGACTACGGCAGTTCCACTGTAGCACAGTGATCATATCTTCAACCTCGTTCGACGAATTATCCATCGAAAGATATGATTGATGCAAGGAGGGGCCATGAAACAGTCAATTGTTTAAGATATGATTCTAGTGTTGGAAGCAAGGCAGAAACTAAGCTTCTAAGAGGGTCTTGTATGTTGAACATAAAGGGTGATACGGTCAAAATTTGGTCAATATCAACTTGACGTATTTCTTTCAATTTTGCATTTAAAAAACCTGAACACCCCTCATTTTGAAGGTGTGTGTGTGTAGAATGTTGCTCCTATTTTGATTTTGGAATTCACTCTTCAGTTGTCAAAATGCCGTCCAAGCAAGAAGAGCAGCGTATCAAAATTTTGCTCGCGCATCGCGAAAATCCGAGCTACTCGCACGCAAAGTTGGCAAAATCGCTAAAAGTTGCCAAATCAACCGTTACAAATGTATTTAAAGTGTTTGGGGAACGTTTGTCGACAGCCAGGAAGTCTGGATCGGGGGGAAATCGAAAACCGGAAGCCGCTGAGACGACAAAGAGAGATGCCGGTAGTTTCAAGCGAAACCCTAACCTCTCTCTCCGAGATGCCGCAAATAAGCTGGGTGTATCGTCTACAACCGTGCATCGAGCCAAAAAACGAGCCGGACTATCGACTTACAAGAAGGTAGTGACTCCAAATCGCGATGATAAACAAAATACGACGGCCAAAGCGCGATCCCGGAGGCTGTACACGACGATGCTGACGAAGTTTGACTGCGTGGTAATGGACGACGAAACCTACGTCAAAGCCGACTACAAGCAGCTTCCGGGACAGGAGTTTTATACGGCAAAAGGAAGGGGAAAGGTAGCAGATGTTTTCAAGCACATGAAACTGTCAAAGTTCGCAAAGAAATATCTGGTTTGGCAAGCCATCTGTACCTGTGGCTTGAAAAGCAGCATTTTCATAGCTTCCGGGACTGTCAACCAAGAAATTTACGTGAAAGAGTGTTTGAATAAACGTCTGCTGCCTTTCCTGAAGAAACACGGTTGTTCCGTACTGTTTTGGCCGGATTTGGCATCTTGCCATTACGGTAAAAAGGCCATGGAGTGGTACGCCGCCAACAACGTGCAGGTGGTTCCCAAGGACAAGAACCCTCCCAACACGCCAGAGCTCCGCCCAATTGAGAAATACTGGGCTATTGTCAAGCGGAACCTAAAGAAGACCAAAAAACTGCTAAGGGCGAGCAGCAGTTCAAGGCAAACTGGCTTTCTGCGGCGAAGAAGGTGGACAAGGTGGCTGTACAAAATCTGATGGCAGGGGTCAAGCGTAAGGCCCGGCAATTCGGATTTGGAAAAGCGGAAGCCTAACTGAATATTTTTCCTGAATTTTATACTAATTGAACTTGAAAAAGAAATTTAATTTGATTTTTT